CGCCTCTGGTCCGACTGGCAGCCGCTCAAACAGCCCGAATACACTGCCACGCACCTCGTCGGCTGGAGGGTGGCACTGCGCATCCGCGATCCGTCCGAGCCCGAGTCGGCGCTGGACCGCTACGGGGCGCCCGTGCAGTCGCGGCCGACGTCGACCAAGGCCACTTCGGCAAGGGCCGGGGCGGCCGGGGCGGCGGCGGCGGCGGTCATGACGCCGTACGAGTCGCTGCTGTGGAACGTGTGGATGCCCAGGATCCGCGGCGCGCTCAACAACGAGTGGAAGCCGGACCGTGCGGCGCCGGCGGTGCAGCTGGTCGAGAGCTGGCGGCCGATCCTGCCGCGGTTCGTGCTGGACAATATCGTCGAGCAGCTGCTGCTGCCCAAGCTCGAGGCGGCGGTGCGCGACTGGGAGCCGCGGCGGTCCAAGGTGGGGCTGGACCACATCCTGTTTCCGTGGCTGCCGCTGCTGGGTCCGCGGCTGGACGGCGTGCTGGCCGACGCCAAGCGGCGGGTGCGGTCGCACCTCAAGGCGTGGAAGCCGCGCGACGGCGTGCCACGCCACCTGGCGCGGTGGCGCGACGTCTACGACGGGCGCGAGTTTGAGTCGATGCTGCTGTCGACGGTGGTGCCCAAGCTGTCTGCGTCGGTGCGGCACGATTTCGTCGTGGACCCGGCGGCGCAGGACATGTCGGTGCTGGAGCGCGTCGTCGAGTGGCTCGGGGACGGGCTGCTGCGTCCGTCGGTGGTGGCGCGCGTCGTCGAGGTCGAGTTCTTCCCCAAGTGGCTCGACACGCTGCACCTCTGGCTCACGCAGCGCGATGCTAACCTCGACGAGGTGGCGGCGTGGTACTCGTTCTGGAAGGCTTGGTGGCCCGCCGAGCTGATGGAGGAGAGGGGGATGGTGGGTGGATTCAAGAGGGGGTTGAAGATGCTCGACGAAGCCGTATCGCTCCCGGCATCGGAACGGGGGAGGTTGGCCAAACCGGATCTGCGTCCGACCCGCGGCACCACCTCCACCGATGCCGAAGCGACGACCAAACAAACGACGCGCAAGAAGGGGGACGAGGAAGAGGTGACGCTTCGACAGATCGTCGAGGAAAAAGCGGCCGAGCGCGACCTACTCGTCTTGCCGCTCAACCGGGTGGATGCGACCAGCGGCGAGCCGATGCTGCGCATCAGCCGCACCGTCGATGGCAAGAGGGGCACGTCGTTTTACATCCACGACGATGTCGTCTTTGTCGAGCTGCGGTCCGACGAGGCCGATGCGGCTGGGTTTAGACCGGTCAGCGTGGACAAGCTCGTCGAGTTGGCCGATACGCGGTAATGGCTCGCTGCTGCTACTGCTGCTGCGAATAAACCCACTCTTGGCTTTCTGAAGCTGCGCGTGCGTGCGTGCGTGTGTGCGTGTGTGTGTGTATACCTGCCCGGCAAGGTTGAGAAGCAGCGAGGGACGAAACGCCAACCTGGCTCAAGTCAGGCCAGGCCAACCCTTTTCCTTTCGTCGTTTCCAGCAGCCTCGGGGTGCGGCACCCTATTCGTACCTCCCTCCCACCTCTCTTTCTCTGGCCGAGACAAGACAAGTCCGCATCCCTTTCAGCACCTCGTCTCACCCCTCCACCCGCGCGGGGCATGGCCCACCAACGTCAACGTCGCGCCTTTACGAACAACCAACAACCACCTCCTGCTCCCCCCAATTCACACCTGCTCTTCCAACTCACACCTGCTCTTCCAATGACACGGCAGCGGCGGTATCGTGCGTCCCCTTTGGCCCTCTCCCCCTCCCCTCCCTCCTTCCAATCCCGCCGCCACCACCCTGACTCCACCGTCACACAAAAAAAAATGTAACGAAAAAAATAATAAAAAACACGTCGCAGAGCCATTCATTCGCAACAAAACAGATATACGCAAGCAATGGAGCGTCTAGGAGCTCGAGATCGCCGGCTTCAATAGCAGTTAACACTGATATCCGACCTCATGATGCCGATATGCTCGAACTGAGTTCCCTTTTCGGCGGAGACGAAGCGGGCCTCGCAGCATCCGGACGAAGCGCCCTGCATCTCGATGTCCTTTCCGCAAAAGTCGACGATGGCCTTGTCGTCGTCGACGCTCGAGTGGGCGATGGTGCGGCCGTTGACGCTGACGTCGTTGTACTCGAAGATGACGTCCTGTGCGGCGCGCTTGGCGACGTGCGAGGCGTCGTCGAGGCTGCGGCGGCGGTTGGGCGTCGGGATGCTCTCGATGCCCGACTTGTCCGTGTCGCTGTGGTTCCACCAAAAGTAGCCTGCGACGGCGACGACGACGGCGCCGATGACGGGCCAGCCGATGGCGCCGTTGAAGACGATGCCGGCGCCCGTCAGGCGGGCCGAAAAGTTGATGATGTTGTAGCCGCCGAGGCGCCGGGTGAGCTCGCTGTGCTCGGCGACGATGGTGCCGTTGGGGTGGAGGTGGCTCTGGACGAAGCTCTCGAGCTGCTCGTGGGTGCACTTGGCCAGCTGGCCCTCGGGGGCGACGTACGTCGTCTGGTTGGTCTCGGTGTTGTGGACGCCGAGCACGTGGACGCCGTTGGGCGTGTTGCAGCCCGCCGCGCTGGCCCACGCGTCGTGCGAGACGGCGACGTGGAGCGTGCCGGCGTCGGTGACGCGGTGCTGCGACCACGAGTTCTGAGGCCCGTGCACCTGGGCTCCGAGGGCGTTGCCGTACACGGCGATGGACTGGACGATGGGCTTGATGGCGACCATTTTGACGGGGCGCGGAGGGCAAAGGGGATAAAGAGGAGGTTGATGGAGTCGTGAAGCGCGACAATCGGGAGGAAAAGATGACCGAGCTGCAGTCGACGCTGATCAGAAGCAGTAGCGAAAGAAGGCCCAGAAGGCGAGGGCGGCAAGAGCAAGGAGGCCGAGCTGGCGATAGGTGACGATGCTCTGGAAGTGAAGGCCTTCGCTGCGCGAGAGGAAGAGATGCGGCTCGTGGGGTTCGGCGGAGGAGGGCTTGTGGTCTGTCATGGTTGGAGAGGGGAGCCAGCGGTGTGTCGATGCTTTATAGACGAGAGACGAGGCCAAAGCTTGCAACTTCGAAGCTAGACGGCGCAGAGGAGGGGGGACGCTGGAGAGGAGGCAAGGCTGGTCTGTGTCGAAAAGGCAAAGGCTAGGGATGGTCGTGGAACAGAGCCAAGGCAAGGACGAGCTGAGCTCGGGCACCTGTATGTAGCGTTTGACCAGCCCTTCCGCCCCGAGACTGGCAGCCAGCCAGCTAGCAAGCCTCAGCATGCGCCTCCCGAGCACTGTAACAGACCACACCCGCTCGCAAAACCCACGCCTGGCCTCTTGACCCGGAACTCTTCACCAGGAACCATCACTTTCGGCAGCCATCCGACCGATGCAGCCGTGTCTCGCGTTCGGCCCTCTGCGTTCGATCTGCTCTGACGGCGCGACCATGGGAGAGCACACGCGCGGTGGTGGGACGTGCGTGTGGTCTCGGCGATGCCACATCCAATCGACCACAGCTTGCTTCTGCTTGGGCCGGCGACGAGGGCGTAGTCGGCCCATCCGACGTTGCGGCCGGGCGCTAGTTTCAGCCCCAGACGGTCTACACGCGGTGCCATTGGCGGAAGGGGTCGGGCCGATCCGTCGCCTGGGACCGACATGGCCTGATGCGCGCACGGTGACGAGCTGGCACCAGCTGGCTTGACTTCCGGCTGGCTCCATTCGCAGGTCGCAAGCAGGCCAGCCAAGCAAGCAGGGACTTGCAGGCAATGCGACCACTGCGTCGTTTGGGAGGGAGCGTGGGAAAGCCGAGTGAGGCCAACATTTACCGCTGCAGCGACCCTCGAGGCTGCCGGTGGCAGGTGTCAAGGACGTCCAACGCTTCGATCGTCTATCACGCCGCGGCGCCAAAGGGAAGACCAGGTAGGGGAGGCAGGGAGGGTCCGAAAAGAACGTCGGACTTTCGGTTGCAGGCCGCTGGCTCGGCCCGCGACCGGCGGGCACACTGGCGGCGCTGGCTCGACCGCCCGACCGTTGCCGACGGTTCGCGCGCCGAACGAACGCACCCACCGCACCGGCCGCACGGTCGCACGGTCGCACGGTAGCGTACCGTACCTGCGGGCACCCACGCGCGTTCGGCTCGCTCCGAGGTCCTGACAGGCGAGCGGAGCGCTGGCAGACGCACGCATGCGAGATGCAGCTTCGCTGCAAAGATGCACAGACGGGCCCTCCCTGACTGCCCTGATCGTCATCACCCTTCGCCGTCCTCCTCCCCCTCCTCGGCCTGGAAACCCGACCCGTACCCGTAGCATCCTTGCTGCTTGCTCGCCCGCAATGCGAGACCGAATACGAGCCCTCGTCTTTTTCGCTTGCATGCTCGTTCGACCTGCATGCCGACCTGGCGCCCTACAGCCTGTGCAAGGTTGACTGTAGATCCAGTTGGCCGGCAGCCGGTCCACCAGGTCGCGCCCTGCAGGCAAAGCTATTTACCTTCTGGCACGGGCAACCCGACAGCGCAGCGCTGCATATGGTACCGTATCGTGGGAACTCGACCTCTCCGCCGGTGAAAGACCCGAGACATCTAATTGTCTTTGTTGGTACGCGAAGAGGGCAAGGAACCGCTGCATGCACCCGACGTACAGCCGCCATGGGCGGTACGTTCCTTAAGCCTATCGATGGACCGCACCGGCAGCTCGAGCAGGTCGGAGCACGTCGAGCTGGCCAGATGTGGATCCTCGAGACCCTGTCTGCACGATCTTGGCGAGCAAAGGCTCAAGCCCTCCGCGGAGGATGCGATCCATCTCCTTGGACGCTTTCGCCTTCCTTCCTCGACCTTGACTGGGTGCTACTTATCCACGCCGGTGCTGCCGCTCAGCGCGCCTTCCTGTCGGCGCAGGCCCATGCTCGCTGCGCTGCTGCGCTGCTGCTGGTGAGCTCGAAGCGTATCGGCTGGTGGGCCGATCCCGAGGCTCGGCGCAAGTCTTCGCCATCGGACCATTCTCTTGCAAAGCCGAAGGGTAGGCGCACCGACCTTTTTCACTCTCTCTCGCCACCCTTCTCGGCTGGACGCAGCTTGTCGCTTGCTGGACGCCGCTTCCTCTGCTCACTACTCTTGCCGACGATCGAGCACGCTACTTACAGTACTGAACTGACTTCGTCGAGAGCCGCACCACGTGGTCGAGTTCGACCTAGGCGCGCTTGTACCCATGCCCTAGCCTGCTTCAGACGCCAGGTCCCTACAGCGGGTTGCGAGGCGGTCGGTCGCTTGGCGAGCATATCAAGGACGACAACCTGTGCGACTGGGCCGCGGCGGCCGCCGACGCCGTCGACTCACGGCTGCTGTCGAAACGCGTGACGGTGCCCGCTCGCTCCAGATCCGCATATCGTCGCAGCATCCTGACGGTGGCGAGCAGTGCGGCTTTGTCGAGTCAAACAGCGATCCTGCGCCTGAGCAAACAGGTGGCCGCGGTTCAGTAATCTGCCCATGCTGGCTGCAGTCATGTAGACCCCGGGGAGGGTGGCCTCCAAAGAATTGGAGTGTTTTAAACGCCGCGCGATTCGGCTTGCCCTGCTGGCGTTGGCACCTATCGAGCGCCGCAACTGCTGAGCCGACGCAGGTGGAGCAAAGGTTACCGGGCCTTGGACATGGCAACATCGGCTCCTACTGCGGCCGGCCGTAAGATGCGCCCGCCATGTCGCGGTTGCCTGACGTCCCCTTTGCTCGCGTCGGTGGGGATTTGGTTCATGGTCAAGCCCGAAGCCTGGTGCTTGGGAGGTGCAGCGGCGCGTATGGTCACGGTCCAGCGGCGGCGGCGTCGCGTCAAAGAGAGGTGACTCTGCGACTCGCTAGCCATCCAACGAGCACGCCGTATGGCATGCGCCCTTCGGACTGAACAGCGGCCGTTTGTCACTCTAGCTAGAGCTTCGGAATGGACCGTGGGCGCTCGACCGAGGATCACGCTCCCCGCTGTATACCTACCGCTCGCCCGTGACTGCATGGACCCCAGGGCCCGGCGCTGAGCAGAAGCGAAGCTTATGTGAGCGGAGTTGTGGGGCGTCGTTCCCGGGACAGGGTGTCAAGGTGGACTTGACGACGGCCCTCGGGCCCGAAGGCTTTGGCCTTCCATCTCTTTGAAGAGGCATGAACGGGGGGAAGGATTTAGGGCTCGCCTTGGTGAAGGGACCTCGATGGCCCGACGCCGATCGCTGATTGCCTGGAGGATGGTCCCCGGCCGGCGCGATTTGGCCGCCACGGTGCGATCGATGCCTGCCCTCCCTTGAGATGCCTGCCAAGCGACGATGCAGCAGGGATCGACGACGACGACGAGGGGGACCTTGGCAGAGGCCGTTTTGCGGCTCCGTTTGCTCCGACGAACAATAAGGATGAGCTTGCAGAGCGAGGCAAAAGCACAGGCAGGCGAGGAAGAAGGCAGGCTGGCAAGAGGCAGGCAGGCAGGCAGGCAGGCAGGCGAAGAAGGCCACGCGCCCACGCCCCCACGCAGCCGTCGATCTTGAGGCCCGCCAAGAGGCCTCGCCCGATGCAATACAAAACCCTTGCAGCGGCGGGTCCAGCTGGCGTGGATTTCAAATGCCACTACGGGCGTCAAGCCAGGCAGGCAGGCAGGTTTAATTTCGATGGGGGACCCAGTCAGCCATCCGCTTGACGAGAGCGAGGCCGGGCTGACTTGGCTTTGCCTGCCTAGGCCAGGCTGGGCGCATGCAACCCCGATCTGACTTTGCCTGCCGGCTGCCAGCTGCCAGCTGCCTCGCGCTACGCGAAAAGCGAGTCGAGGAGCGAGCCGCCGCGGCGAACCCCCCCAAACGTGGTCGGCTGGCCTCCACCACCACCGCTCTTCGTCATCGCCACCACCACCATCCCCTCATCGCGCAACCTCGGCTCTCTCCCCTTCACCGGCTGGTCAGATCGCCCCGCCCGAACCGCACACGTCGTCGCCGCCCGAATCCGCCCGGCTGACCATCTCTATTCCGACCACTCTCGGATCATCGCCATCACCGCCGCCACCCCCATCTCACCACTGCACCTCACCTCGCTACAGCCTGCACCTTGCAGCCACTCTGCTCGCATCCGACTCGCCCATCACCTTGCATCCTACACGTGCACCTCTACGCCGTACCTCCGAGGTGCCTCAGGCGTGCCCTTCTACCTGGCATCATCGCTGCCTTTCCACCGCGAGCGTCTTTCTCGCCAGCCTAGACCCCCCCACCCATGAGGCCATCGGCCAGCGGCTCACCCCAACGACTACAACTCACTCCCTAGATCCAAGAACTCCTCGACTCTTCACCCTCGCCCACCCGACGCCGTAATGCCAGCCCATCAGCAGTCGTGGCAGCAGCAGCAGCAGCAGCAGCAGCAGCAGCAGCAGCAGCAGCAGCAGCAGCACCATGCCGCTGCGCCACAGCCACCTTACCCAAACCATCCCGCGTCAGCCAACGGCAGCGCAAACAACGCCTCATTCCCACAGCACGGCAGCCATCTCCACCCGAATGGCGCACAGATGGACCCTTACCGCCACGGCCAGGCAGGCTACCAGGTCCCCGCCGCTTACCACCACCAGCACTCCGCACCCATCTCGCCAGGACGCACACCCGGTCCGCTTCCGCAAAACGCCCCGCACTGGCAGTCGCAGCCTACAACCGACCTAGACCCTCGCCTCGCACGTCAGGCTCCATCCGGATATGCATCCTACGATGCCACTAGTGCCTACCCTGTCCACCCTCAGCACCAGCACCAGCACCAGCACCAGCACCAGCACCAGCACCAGCACCAGCATCAGCACCATTCCGCCAACCCCAGAGCGCCGCCACAGCAGCACCAGCCCTCTTACGTCTCAACCGACTCCTCCAGCTTTGGACCCCAAGCTGCCGCCGCTGCCCAGCATCAGCGTCCGATCGACCCCTACATCGGCGCCCACCCCGGCTGGTCCTCGACCGCGCCCCCTCCCTCGGTCCTCCAGAGCTCCGCTGCATCCAGCGCGCAGTCAAGGGCGCAGGGCGACATTGCACAGCGCGGATCGGCCTCGAGCAGCATCGGCGGCGGCGGCGGCGGTAATGGCCTTGCATCTAGCTCACGGGGCTACTCGGCCAAACTCGAGGACCTCGACGAGTATGACGATGACGACTTGGGCGGCAAAGGCCGAGACGGCGACGGCGGCGGTGGAGCGGCGGGCGCCGGCCCCGTCCAGAAGGGCACCAGCGACTTTGTCAAGAAGCTCTTTGGCATGCTCAGCGACCCGGCCTACGAAAACGTCGTCACGTGGAACCCGTCGGGCGAGAGCTTCGTCGTCAAGGACATGAACGACTTCACCAAGCACGTTTTGCCGCGCAACTTCCGCCACTCGAACTTTGCCAGCTTCGTGCGCCAGCTCAACAAGTACGACTTCCACAAGATCAAGAACCCAGAGGACCCCGGCTCCAACGTTGGCGAGCACATGTGGGAGTTCCAGCACCCGGACTTTATTCGCGGCCGCGACGACCTGCTCGAGAATGTGCGGCGCAAGATCCCCGCAAAGAAAAAAGGCGGCGCCAAGGTCGCCAGCGTTCCCACAGACGGCGCCATCGACGGCCGCGACGAAAGCCCGACGCTGCCGCCGCCGGGCGAGGCGGCAGAGAGCGCGGCCGAATCCTACTCGGAGCTCAAAGCGCAGGTGGCCAACCTGACGGCGGTCCAGGACCAGCTGAGCAGCCACATCAACGGCCTCACCAAGCAGTACCAGGGCATCATTGGCGAGATGCTCACCTACCAGAAGAACATGGTGCAGCAGGACCAGCTCATGCAGAGCCTCATTCAGTATCTGATGAACGTCGAGGCCGACAAGCGCAGCGAGGCTAACATGCTCGCCAACGGTGGAGGCGGCGGCGGCAGTAGTGGCGGCGCTATCGGCGATGGCGGAGCCTTTGTGCCTTCGGACGAGGCCAACCGGCTGATCGGCAACTACGAGGACGTCACACAGGCCTCGTTTGCCACCATGAGCGAGATCTCGCAGCGCATGGCCAGCATCCGGCCGGGCCTCGTCGGCGGCGCATCATCGGCCTCGGGGCCGGCGCAGGCGCGTGGGCGGGCCGATGTTCGTCACCCTGCGGTGTCGGCCTCGACGTCGGCACCACTCTCGCCAAAGAGTGTCAGCTCGCCCCGGGATAGCTCGGGACGGCCTACCAGTACATCGACATCATCGTCGGCGGGCAGCGATGCCAAGGGCAAGGGGACGGCCCGCGATGTGGCCAGCGGCGGCGCCGACAACGACAATGTCACCTCGCTGCACCCTCCCCACCAGCATCTCGAGTCGGACGGCACCACGGCTCAGCTGCTCGAGTCGGCCGCAGGCTCGCTAAGCCATCCGGACCTGGCCCAGTTCGAGCGCGCCGGCCTGCGCGTGTTCACCGTCGGCACGCTGCAGCCGAGGGAGGGCAACGAGGACTACCTCGCCAACAATGCGGCTGATGCGACGGCTGGGTCTCGTGGGGCCAAGTCGGCGCAGAGCAGCTTTGCCGAGGCGGTGGGTGCCGCCTTCCGGAAGCAGGCCTCGCCCAACGGCTCGTCGTCGGCGGGCAGCGCCAACGACTATGGCCTGCGCGTGCCGCAGCTCGAGGACCTGCCGCGCAACATGCCACGCATCGACGGCCGGTCCAACTCGATCTCGGGCTCGCCGAACCCTTACGGCCCTGCCGCCACCGCTGCCGGCGGGAACGGCGGCAGGGCGAGCGATGCCAAAGATGGGAGTGTCACGCCCTCTGACGAAGGCGGCAGCAGCAGTGGTAGTGGCGGCGGCGGCGGCGGCGGCAACTACCTGCGCGTGCGGCGGTCGACGTTCGTACCCGGCTGGGCGATTCCGCCGCGAGTGCTGCTGGTCGACGACGACGCCGTGTGCCGCAAGCTCAGCTCCAAGTTCCTGCAGGTGTTTGGCTGCAGCATCGACTACGCCGTCGATGGCATGTCGGCGGTCAACAAGATGAATCTGGAAAAGTACGACCTGGTCCTGATGGACATTGTCATGCCCAACCTCGACGGCGTGTCGGCCACGTCGCTCATCCGCCAGTTTGACCCGCGCACGCCCATCATCTCGATGACGTCCAACTCGGGGCCGAGCGAGCTGATGCAGTACATGGCCAACGGCATGAACGACATCTTGCCCAAGCCGTTTACCAAGGAGGGCCTGCTCAATATGCTCGAGGTGAGTGGCCGTCGGTGCGATGGCGGGCGACGCTGGAGGAGGCGCAATGCCCGGACGCGCGGGGCGCCACGGGCACTAAATCTGACCTTGCGTCTTGGATCCATCCCCTTTCCTCCCGTCACCTTGTCTCATTTCGTCTCTCTGCCCTTGACTTGGCCCCTAACAGAAACATCTGATCCACCTCAAGACGGTGCAGAAGATGGAAGAGATCCCGCGCTCGCTCGGGCTGGGCCCCGTGACCGAGTCGGCGCTGCAAAACGCGCTGCAGGCCTCGACGCTGCACCGCCTGTCCAACGCCGGGCAAGGGCCGTCGTCGTCGTCGTCGTCCGGTGGCGGGCAGTCGCTCTTCACGTCGTCGGCCGGGCCAGGCGACGGCAACAGCGGGCAGGGTCAGGGGCAGGGGCAGGGGCAAGGGCAGGGGCAAGGGCAGGACGGCTCGACCCTCAACCCCCTGGCCGGGATGGGCTTCTCGGACGAGGAGTACATTGCGATGCTGCAGAACCTGATCGCGGCAGGCAGCTTTTCAGACGCCTCGGGCAACCTGACCAATCCGGTGTCGTCACTGGTCGGCACGCAGCCGGGCGAAGGCATAGGGCCCAGGAGCAAGGAGGGCACGCCGTCGATGGCCACGGGCGGGCTTAAGCGGCAGGCCAGCGAGGGCGAGGAGAGGAATGGCGGCGGCGGTGGCGGTGGCGGCAGCGGCGACGCCAAGAGGGGCAGGTTCACCGAGATCCATTGAGCGCGGTCGACGTGCGTACTGCGGTCTGGCCGTCGTCGTCGTCGTCGTCGCCTCGCCCTGCCCTGCCTGTCCGGACCTGCCTCGTTGCGCCCCTCGACCCTCCTGCCTTGAATCGCCCCTGCTGGATCGCCGGTCAATGCTGCGCTGCCTCACTCGCGCCTTTTTTTCGTTCCTTGGCTTTCCCGCAGCGCCTAGCCCCCTCTCCCCTCTCCCCGCGCAACCCCTTGAAACGAACACTTTCGCAGCACCTGCAGGAAGAGGCACACTGTACGCTAGTCTTTCCCCGTCCTCTATATTATTGTCCTGGTCGCCGACGTCTTCTCCCTCGCTTTCTCTCCCTCTCTCTCTTTCTCTGCCCTTTTTCTCGTTTGCCCCCCAACCTTTCCGCTCTGCAACCTGCTCTGCACATCTCGTGACGCTGCGCTCTCGAACGTCGTCGAAGTATACACACTGTACCACCTCCTCTCCCTGCCTTCCTGCCTCGCTCCCTGCCTCGATCGCTTGCTAGTTTGCAACCGCAGGCACCACTCTGCGCTCTTTCTTTGCCGTCGTTCTGCTCGGGGAGAAAATGGGAATGGATCCACTGTCCTTTTATCCTTGGCTCAAAGCTGTGTCTCTGCGGTGAGAGGATGCGGGGAGGAAGAGAAGGGATGCACAGACGGGCGGGGTGAAGCACCGGGATTGGAGATGAATTGGGCTCGAGGGGAGGATAACGGTGGTGCGGGAGCAGGTGACTAGACATCGGGCTGAGCTAGAGAAGGGAGGTGGGGGAAGCGGGAAGGACGGGGGCGGAGCGGCAGGGGCAAGCGACGTGAAGGGAGATGGATGCTGAGCCGATGCCTCTACGCCGGCGTCGGTCTCTTGGTCTTCTTCACCATGCCCCCCTTGGACGGGGCGGCATCGACGTTGGACGAGGCGCCGCCGTCGAACAAGGTCCCCAGGCCCGACAAGGCGGCAGCGACAACGGCAACGGGACCGTCGGACGAGGCGGTGTCGGTGGCGGTGGCGTTGGAGGGAGGTTTAGCGAAGCGGCGGTAGATGTGGGGCAGGAATCCGCCGAGGTGGGTAAACTCCTGCTGGTCGTGTGCGAACTGGAGGCTGGCAATGTGGCGACCGACAAAGGCCTTTTGGATGCCGAGCGGGCTCGCGATGGGGTCGAGCGGCAGCAGACCGAGGAGGCTGACGCGGCTAGCGAGAAAGTAGCGGCTGCGCAGCACCAGTCCGTCTCCGTCGGGCGACTTGTACCAGAGGTGGATCATATCGATGACCTTGAGCGGACCCAGGTAGATTTCGCCGCACGCATCCGCCACGACGCCCGCCTGCTCGAAGCGGCTCTCGTCGAGACCAAAGTGGGCCGGCGGGAACCAGTGGATGGCAATGTCCTCCTGCGTGTCCCCGATGATTTCGCGGATGGTGTGCACGCTGCCGTAGAGCTTCTGTTTATCGTCGAAGAGCGGGTTGTCAAACGTCGCGCTGGCCGACGACGAAATCGAGACGTGGGCGTACGGGTGCCAGAGCATGTACCGCTCCGACTCGCCGGAATGCCACCACATCCACCACTGCACCATGTCGGCCGTCGCACCGGGAAAGTAGGTGCGCGACGAAACGTACCCGGCCCCCGACTGGTTGTAGGCGCACCATGCGTCTTCGTGCTGCAGCGTCGTCGAGGCGGGGACGAGGATCGTGTCGAGGTCCGACAGGTCCGGCTGCAGCGCCTGCGTCTCGCAGCAGATCGGGCTCCGACTCGGCTCCACCATCGACGGACGCACGTACAGGTTGCGCGTGAAGAAACGCTCGTACGGCTTTCCTCGGACCGCAACGGCGTTTTTGCTGTACTGGTCGATGAGCTCCGGCTGGTAGTAGGTGTACGGTATCATGCCCGGCGGCGCGTCGGCCATGATGTCGGCGTGGGATGCCTGCTTGCCCCAGACGAGGGGGACGAGGAGGGGGAGGAGAACGAGGGGCGTGGTGCCAAGGCGCATCGTGGTTGGGCTTGAGACGGGCGTTGTGCGGCCGGGTCTTGGGGTGAGCAGGGGCGGATGGAGTGAAGGCTGGGGATCAACGTGCTGGATCCTCGCTCGTATATATCGCTACCTCGACGGTCGCGAGAGTGTACATACGAGAAGGCTACACATGGCAACGCGCCGCGGGGACGGCCCTGCCTCGCCAAAGCCAGCCGACCTGGTACCGAGTTTCCCCACAGTCTCTTGCCCGACCACAGCCAGCCAGCCAGCCGGCCAGCCAGCGACGCCATCTGGGCCGCTGAGCCCGTCGCGCCAGCCGACGAAGCCTGCACGTCGTCTCCCACCGCCCCCACTCTCGCCGTCTTAGGGTATGTAGCGTCCCGAGCATGTAGTCAAGGCTGGCTGAATCAATCTCGAACCTCTGTCTGTCCCTCCTTCCCCAGATGGTAGCGCAGCAGAGCGTAGAACTACGTGCAATCGCGCGGGCGCCTGGCGTGGACCGGGGTCGGCGGCGCATAGGCTAGGCCAGGCTAGGCTAGGCTAGGCTAGGCTGTCTAGAGCCCAAGGTGGTAGCGTGCAGCGCCAATTTGTCCAGGCGAGATTGAAAAGATGGCACGGCATGGCGTGACGTGGCTAGCCGACCTGGATGCTTTTTGACAGATAGACCAACTACCGACAATTGTCGTCGTCGGCTGCATCACAAGTGCAATGGCGTGGTGTAGCGTGATGCCGGTCACCTGGTCTCTTCCCTTCCACCGCATCACCTAGGTCGGGGAGCGGTGATCGTCGTACTGCAATTTTCCTCCAATTCGGCATGGGTAGTGTAATACGAGCAGCGAAGGTGGTGATGGCAAAACAAGAATTCATGGCAATCGTGACCCACCAACCTTGACGAGAGACTAGAGTGGTCGACGACGGCGCCAGCCTTGCCTTGCCTTGCCTTGCCTCGCCTTGCCTCGCCTTGACTAAGAGCTGCCTCGCTTGTCATTGTCGCGCTCCCTCGCTCGCTGGCGAATAGACTCGGATTGTCTTTTCCTTCGCGCGACAACCGCTATTGCTGTCCCGCTTTGGCCATCTGCCCAGGCCCAGGCGGCGCGACTGTGGAGAGTAGGCCAGCTACGACATCGATGATGGTGTCAACGTGCTGGCCGGGGCTTCAACACGCGCCCCTCCACGATCCCGCTAAGGTAAGTCGCTCCGCTGCGGCGCCTAGCTGCGACCAAGAACCGATCGCTCCTTCTCTCGCTCTCATTCTGCAGGGCCCCTTAGCGGGTTGGTCTCGTCTGCATTGCATTGCGCCGTCGCCACCGACACATCAACGAGGATGGCCGATCGGGATCTAGGTCTAGGTTTAGGTCGAGGCGTGCACCTGGGCCGTGACGCGCTTGGCCATGGCGCCGCGGATAAAGGCCACTGTCGACCTGGCAGCTTGCCGACACAGGTCGGCCGCTCTTTGCCTCTGCAGCGCAGCCGCCGTGGGGGAAAAGAGGCCGGGACGAAGGGAGCGAGCGAGCGGGGAGACGGTCGGGACGGTTAGCATGTGATCCCTTCGCATCGACGGCCGATGGCGGGGGCGACTCACGTCCTCGAGGCTGACGATGCCGATTGACTCGGCGAAGATCTGGTCCGAGACGAGCGTCGTCTGGTCTGCCGCTGCTGCTGCCGCTGCGTCAACGCCGGCTCTCGCACCGTCCTGGGATCCTTCTTGCGCCGTCGTCGAGGGGTCGTGCGTGAATCCGGAAAAGCTAAAGGCAAAGACGTGGGTGCTGAGGGCGTAGTTGAGCTCGGTGGGCGTTGGGTCGAGGAGGACGATGGTGCTGCGGCGCGCCATAGAGGCGGAAGGGGGGCAAGGGAAGTCGGGGATGGTCAGGGACAAGCCAGTCTAGTCACGCAGCCGAACGATGGAGCGGGGGCATGGAGCCTGGGCTGTACTGCACTGCGCCACGCCGCGCCGCGCCGCACCGCACCGCACCGCACCGCACCGCACCGCACCGCGTACTCACTCCTGCTGTGCATCTTGCTGGTCGTTGAAGTCGTCGACGTGTGGCAGGCCGTTGTCGGTCCTCCATTCATTCGCCCTTGCTCTGATCTGCGCGTCGCCGAGGACGGACCCGCTGGCCTGGCGGAGGACGGTGCCCTGATCGCGCCTTAGGACTGCGCAGGAACAGGCGGCGACGGTGCCCCTTGCGACGATGCCGGCGTCGAGGAGTGCGAGGGATGCGGCGTTGATGAGGCAGGCCTTTTCCGAGGGCGAGGGAGGGGTGTCTGGGCCAATGAGGAGCGGGTTGCGCGCCCGTGCCGCCGAATCGGTGATGGCGGGTGCGGGCGGGGAGGAGGTGGTCTGGAGTACGAGCTGTATCATGGAGCGCGGGTGGTGGTGGAGGAGGAGGACCGAGGCGAAGAGGGTGTGGAGCGATGCGGCCATCGACTTTGCTGGGATGCCTGCGACGCCCGAGAGCGGGTGTAGGACGATGTCCAAGGTGGCACTGTCGGTGAGCTCGTCGCGGATGCGCACCTCTGTGGGGCCGAGTATGGATGCGGCGACCTCGAGCGGGCCGGAGCTGAAGGTGGCGCTGCCGTCTGCGCGGGCGAGGCAGCCGATGTGGGCGCGCAGTGGCCGCAGCGCGGTGGGCGAGGTGCGGGACGACGAGGCGGCGGGTGGTGGTGGTGTTGTTGATGCGTCCATTTTGCGAGTGCGAGTGCGAGTGCGAGTGCGAGATGGCGAGATGGGCGAGGGTCGATGGTTGACAGAGGGGGAGAGAGAAGGCGAGGGGCAATCTTAAATCTCGACGTCGAGGAGCGAAACCAACGTCGGCGAGAAGCCAAAGAGTCAAAAGTCCAAAAAGGGCGGTCGGCGGGCAAAGGCCAAAAGTGGAGCCAACCGGTTCCGAACAGGCCAACCGCCGCCCGCCGCCCGCCGCCCGCATCCAAAAGGAAGAAAGCGGGCGCGCCAAAAAGATGCTCAGACAGAGGCGGCTTTACCTCTTTCCCTACCACCACCAGCCCTCCATTCCAGGGCCGCCATCAAGACCACCATGGCAGACGCAAAACCACCCTCGACCACCACAGTGGCAACACCACCCGCACAGCCAGCCCAAGCGGCTCCGGCTGCGGCACCGGCACCGGCACCGGCAACGCCAGCGCCATCACCAGCGCCAGCCTCGACGACTGCCACGCCAAAACCGCCCCCGCGGCCCGTACCCACCTTCCTCAAGCCGCTCCAGTTCATGGGCGTGCCCCGCGGCGTACTCACCTGGAAGCCCCGCCTGCCCTCGCGCAACTGGTCCATCTTCCTCGTCACCGTCGGCACCCTCTCCTACCTCTACTACGACGACCGCAAGCAGTGCCGCCAGATCCGCCGCGACTACTGCGACAAGGTCAGCCACCTCGCCCACGAGTCGATGCGCACAAACGACTGGCCCAGAAAGGTCGTCGTATACACCACAAAGAGCCCCGGCGACGACGACTACGACCAGGCACTCCGCTACTTTAAAAAGTACGTCAAGCCCATCCTCGTCGCCGCCGCCGTCGACTGGGAGGTGACCAACGGCACAAAGCACGGCGGCCTCGCACGAGAGCTCCAGGCCCGCTTCCAGGAACGCCGCCGCAAGCTCCTCGGCCTCGAGCCCTGGGACGCCACCGCATCGGACCCAAACATGCCCCACAGCCCCTTTGCACTCACCCCGCAGCAGCAGCTCCAGCGCGAGATTGACGGCGGCATCGTCCTCGTCGGCAGACCGGCCCTCAAGGAGTGGGCATGGGCGCTCAAAAACGGCTGGGGAACGCCGCTCGAGGTCGTCAAGCGCGACCGCGACCAGGAGATTGCCGCCGAGCTCGCAGAGGACCACGCCTTTGACGAGCTGCCTGTCGGTGAAGACGAGCAGCAGCGGCAGCAGCAGCAGGGCGACGGCGGGCTGGCGTTTGCAGAGATGAGCGAAAAGGACCGCGCCATTGCCGCGCTGGCAGACGGCGCAGAGGCCGACGGTGCAGGCGCGCCGCTGCCCTCGCGCTTCGGCGGCGCCGGCGGACCCAACCCGGCCTTTGGCGGCGG